AGGAATGCATTTTTTCAGTGAGCCAGCTTGACTCCTAGGTTTTGTTTCTCACTGCTTGGTGTGCCAGAACCCAGACTTGTTAGTTTTCTGAGTGCATTGCAAAAGCCAACTTTTTCATGAGATTTTGGGTTGATGTGAGAATGTAGGGACAGCTGGGGAGGATGTAGGGATCAGGGCAGAGTGAGTGAATTTGCATCTTCCTTTTAAGGCAGTCTAATTGATGAATTTCATAATGGAACATGAGGAAAACTGTACTGTTGTGCTGATTATTTTATATCTTTAACCCTACACTTGAAATAGTGTAAGATGTCTACAACATGCCATACGTGACAGGTAACATGAAAGGAAAAATATGCAATATGAAAAGTTATTTTAATAAGTAATTCACAAGGGACGGAATAGCAGGGAACTTCTAAGAATTAACTCAGGACTGAAGATTCTCTGATATCTGACAATACTGGCAATTACAATATCTGGTTCAAGTCTGTGGTTACATGCTGGGCTTCTCAAGATATGTATAAAGGCTTGTGTTTGTTTTTATGTTAATAATAATAGGGCCAATTTGATGCTACCAGATGAAAATAAGTCATGAAAATTTTAATAAGGAACACATTAAGACCATTGTGCTTAAAAAGTTATTGACTGAGCTTTTGCAGTAACTCTAGTAACTGTGATTCTGTGGTTTATTGCAATAAAATAGCACATCCTATTTGATACTGTGTTGATGGAATATAATGCAGTATAATTTTCTTATGTTGCCACATAAGTGTCAAAATGAAGGGGAGAAATTTAATCAGGAGACACTAATCACCTGCCAGTATTTTTACAATGGCTTTTACTTGCACCTTAAGGGTACCTGGCTTTCTTTGGGAATGTTAGTTTCATTCTCAGCAGCCAGGGGAACGGGTTATCATAGACTTTTGCAGCTGGTATTTGCTTATCCAAACAACCCACCAATAGTTCAAGATGTTGCTTTCTTGCCTTTTTATGCCCTGCCTATAGTAGGGGCATTTTTGGGAAATGTTCTACTGTTGCTCAGAATGACTATAGCCAAGGGGTGTGTGGGTATACACTCAAACACAGAAAGGAAGAGGGAAAAGAGGACTTTGCTTTTGAATGAGTGGTATTGGATGTAGTGCTGTGGTGGT